TTACTCTCTCAAACATCCTCTACCACCACCTCCACCACCACCTCTACCACCACCTCTATCACCACCTCTACCACCTCCACCACCTCCACCACCTCTACTACCTCTACCACCACCTCTATTATCACCACCTCCTATTAGTAAAAATATTATGACTTATTATTATGTCACTACGGTAAAAAATTGTTTACTGTAGAATGGTACGCTAGGGGTTTACTATATAGGTGTAAACTAACCTCGTGTATACCTGTAAATAGGTTTAAAGTAGTGGTTTACTTTTTTATAGTATAAATATAGTATGGTTTACTATAGACCTATTAGTAGAGTAAATAAAGTAGTTTATAATAGACCTATTAGTAGAGTATATAAAGTAGTTTATAAAAGATAAAATATAAGTATTAGGTATAGTAATAATAGTATTAGATTTTTTTTAGTATCCTTATATAAACTACTAGTACGTTATCGCCTGTCCTATCCCTAGGCCTAACCTGCCTAATTAATAGCCTATACCTGCCTAATTAACAGCCTATACCCGCCTAATTAACAGGCCTAAAACTGCCTAATTATTAGCCTATACCTGCGTAATTATAAGGCTATCTACTATATACCTTACTTATTTTTAGAAAACTGTAGTATAATATAAATTAAATAGGTATATAAGTAGTATAACTATATAGTAATTAGTGTAAGTTAGTATATCTAATAATAGTCTAGCGTAATATATAGATAATATACTTACCTAATAAATGCTAGTATATTATATAGTAATAGTGTTAGTATAAAGAGCCTAGTACTATAAAGCTAGATATAGACCTATTATCTTACTTAACTATAGGTAGTTAGTCTTAGACTATCTATATTTATTAATAATATATAGCTTATTACTAGGTTAAAGTTAAGTGCTACGTCTATAGTAAACTATAGCTACTCCTATAAGGTTAATAATTATTATTATTTAAATCTATTTAATACTATTATTATCTTCTATTATCCTCTAAGGTTAGGCTAGTTAGCCTATAGCAGTAGTAGGTTGTGTCTATTACTATTAAAGTACTCCTACCTATTTAGAGTTATTAGCTAGATCTTAAAATAGGTGTATTACTATCCTAAAGGAGAGCTAAATATAGTTATTATAATTATTTCTAGCGGCGTAATATATAATAAACATAGTACTCTAGGGGTAGTTACTATCTTTATAATTCCCTAAAACCCTAATAGTATACCTATTTAGGAGTATATAATAGTTATATATAACTATATCCTAGGCGCGTATCTATATAGCATGTACTATAGTTGCAATTATAGTATAAGTGTTATCTAGGATATATCCCTAGTGCGTATCTATGCTACTATAAGACTTAGATTTTAGATAGTACTCTTATAGCTAAGTTATAATTATATTTTTATTAATATTATACTCTATACTAAGCCTAAGCTATTACGCGTGGATAATACACTTATATACTAGTATATTCTACTCTAAACTAATATACTTCTAGGAAGGAGAAGTTACTATCTTCTTAATATAACTAATAAGTCTCTCTAAAGACTATTAGGTATAGTATATAGGTAGTCTAAAATCCCTAGTATTAGATATAAGGTAGAGTAGGTAATAGATCTAAATAGAGTAAGATAGTAACTAGTCTACTTTACTATAGTAGTAGAGTAACTTATACTAGCAAATAAAATTCTCTACTAATAGTTCTAACTTATTAATCTAGTTAATAGTAAACTCCCTCTAGCTTATATAGAAGAGTAGTTTATAGTAGTATAGGAAGTTATTAGTATATTCCTTCTAAAGATAGACCTATATAGCTAGCGCTCTATAAGTAAGTATAAAAGTCTACTATTTAAATAAAGTCTATATCTTATATATTATAGTGCTTTATAGGGTAGTGCTAACTTAGGTTAGTACTAAGGAACAGGACTTATAAAGACCTTTATTAATTAAAGCCTAATTAGTATTAGTAATAAGCTATAGTATAGTCTTGTTATTAAATTTGTCCCCTTTCTAGAGTTAGAATAAGGCTTTAGGTATATTATAGGACATTGCGTGCATAATATTAATAGAAAAGCTATAAGGAAAGTGTATAGTAGGGAGGTCTAATAGGATAGAGTAGTAGTTAATACTAGCATCTTAGTATAAGGTAGTATATCTAGAGGCTAGTATATTAGTCTATTATTTATATATATCTTTAATAGTAGTAGCTAAATTATTATATATAACTAGGCAAAGGGTATCTCTATTTAGGAAAGAGTATTTACTAGTTCTCCCCTTAGTTCCTTTATATAGGTATAGGCAGTAACTCCTTTTTAATATACTAGGCTATTTTATTCCTATAATCTCTACTATAGCTAGCCTATCTCTAGTTATTAGTATAAGGTAGGCGTAAAGGATAAATTCTTCCTAAGTGTCTGCGTTGTATATATAAACTCTAACTATAAGTTAGCGTAATTCCTCTACTATTAGGTATAGCTAAGTGTCTATAAATTTTTTATTAAAAGTACTAGGTATAATAGTAGTAACAAGTGTATTACAGTCTTAATCCTAAATAGATAGGTAAAGGTTTAAGATATATAGCACTACTAGTGTAATGCTTTATTATTTCTTAG